GGGGGGGGGGGGGGGGGGGGGGGGGGGGGGGGGGGGGGGGGGGGGGGGGGGGGGGGGGGGGGGAGAGGGAGAGACAAAGACAGAGACAGACCCAGACAGACCCAGACAGAACAGGCGCACGCGTCATTCAGCAGCAGATGACCCGCTCATCTTCGCGAGGTCAAGGGTGGTTTGACAACGAAGGCATCTACTACATCAACGCTATCTCATTGCACACCACGGTGTACAGCAGCAGCACCTGGACCATCTCGTGCTCCACGTCGCGCACGATCGCAGCTCTGATCTCGTCCGCCTTGGCCTTCGCGGCAGTCTCCGACATGTCCACGTCGGGCGAGAAGCGGGAGCAGAACAGGTCCGCCGCCGCGGCCGCGTGCCTCACGTACCGTGGGCTGTCCAGCCACTGGGGTGGGCCGGCCGTTGTAGGCGTTGTCGTCGGTAGTTGGTGTGTTGGTGTGGGGCGGGCGAAAACAGCAGCAGCACAAAAACACCGGTAGATAGATGACGTGGGGGGAACGGGGGGGGTACTTAAGTCAATCGTTTGGTTCACGTGGTTGACTTCACAACGGGAACGGCCGTGGTGGTGGTAAGCGGGTCGCCGTATGTGGGTGGTCAGCCCGGCACATTAAGCACCAAGCACAACAGCAGTTCCTCAAGTGTCGCGGCGCTCCAGACACGGCGTTTGTGGGTGCCATTGGGGAGGCAAGGTGCACCAATAATGCCGCCCACCCCGCAAAGTTGCACAGATGTCGGACTGTTCCTACAAACATCCAAGCAACTGCCCGCGAAATGGCCAACCGGCTCTTGCAGCTCACGTGGTACATCTGCGACTTGGAGTATGCCCATGGGTGCGTCTTGTGGAGCACTCCGTAGACCATGTTGGCGAGGGACACGATCACCTCCGACGTTTCCAGACCCAGCCCCGGGTGCCTGCAAAACCAAAAAAAAAAGGCGTTATTTCGTTTTGGTTCGGGGCGCGAGTCGAACCGTTTCAACTCGCGCGAGTACTTGCTGCTGCATTCGGCAACGCGTCGAATAAATAAGGCGCGCTGCGTGAGATGAACAGAACAACAGACACCCCCCCACCAACACATTTTGTGTTCCTTTTCTCGAGACAAACGGACGGAGGTTCGACGAACTCAGGCCGGAAAAATACAGCGACAGCAGTCTCCAACATTATAGCGAGGAGATGCGCGGCAAAGCACACACGGATGTGGGTAACACCTCCTGGAGTCACCTAGTAGAGGACGAAGTTTCAACTAACCACGCACGGTTTTCCCCTCAAAGGTCGGGACGGCGAGAATAGAGACAGGCAAAACAGGACGCGCACAACAAAACAGCTTGTCAAAAAAAGAAAGCGGGACGGGGCACGGCAAGGAAAAAAAAGGCAAGACAGACTCACTTCTCCAGCATGAGCTCGTACACCCGCTCATCCGCCCACTTGATCCTCCGCAAGTCCTTCATGACGGCATCCCACGCGCCGGGCTCGTCCCAGCGGTCCTCCCAGCTTGTGTCGATCTCTGCACCAGCTGCAGCGTCACCGGATCCCGTAACTGCCGCCTTTGCTGCGCTGCTACCGTCGTTGACGAGCATCCTCATCTGCCACGCCACAAACCACCAACAAAACCGACACGAATGAACTCAACGAAAACAGCAAACCACCCGAACTATCACCGTGGCGGTGGCGGTACTGAGTGGTTTCGTGAGAGACGAAACCTTAACAAGGACGGGTGATTCTTGTCCCACGTGACACCGCCTTCATTAACGCTGTGGGTGCGAGCTGCAGTTCAGGGGCAGTCTTCGAGACCATTAAACCGGAGGAGCGAAACGACAACTTTGTCGCCAAATAACCACAGGAGAGAACTGCCGAACGACGACTGGGTCCGTACGTCCAAAGACTCTAGAATTGTTGGGCAAACACAACAGCAGCCTGCAGCAGCAGCAGCAATAGCAGCGGCAAACATCGACACCAACAATAGCAGCAGCATCAGCAGCAGCAACAACAACAGAAAAAATCGGCTGAGCCAGCCCGGCCGGAGCCCCCCTCCCCCCTCCAAACCACCCCAACCCACCATGGTGACAGAGCCGTTGCCCGGGTCGTCGACCACGTCCAGGTGGCACCGGATGGTCTCAAGCTGGTAGCTCTTCAGCAGCCGGAGGGCCTGGTACAGCGCCATCTTGGGAAGGACGTTCGCGGCGGCCATGGAAATCCAGTGCGAGCCCCGCACCTCCGTGGCTCCGGCCTCGGCACCCTGGTAAGCTTCCACGTCCACCGCGATGCTCTCGGTGCCGCTCACTTCCTGCTTTCCTCGAAACAAGGGGAAGGGGGGGGGGGGGG